AGGCAACAAGGGAGGCTTGGGGCTTCTAGTTGAGCATCGGGAACCTGGAGCCGGGAGCTGGAAGTGGCCGGGGCCTTAGGAGAGGAAAGTCGTGTCCAAGGTCCTAGTGCGGCTAGACGGAATGGAGGCCCTGCAGCCTGGGCCTGGCGGGCGCCTTTAATTGGAGTGTTGCGATGCGTTTCCTGTCTGAGCCTAGCTGGCTGGTGGCCTGGGCACCTGATACTGGGGAGCCCCGGAGAGCTGCTGTGTGGCCGGCTCAGGCCTGACTTCCTCCCCTTTTCAGTGGTTTGACCGTAGACAAGTCCCCTAACTTTCACCCCGAGTGTAAGAAACAAACTGAAAATGTACCCCAGTTGAGTTCATACTGACTCACGGCAACCCTGTAAGACCGAGTGGAAGGGCCACTCCTTTCTCCCATCGAGAAGTTGGTGCCTTTGAACCACCAACCTAATGGTTAGCAGGGCCGAGGGCCTAACCACTGTGCCACCAGGGCTCCACTTGAAGGGGGTGTTGTTAGGTGCTCCGGAGCCCTGATGGGTGTGTGTAGTGGCTATGCATTGGCTGTGGTCAGAAGGGTCAGCCATTTGGAACCACCAGCTGCTCCCCAGGAAAGTGGCTACACTTTCTACTCTCATAAAGAGTTACAGTCTCAGGCACTCACGGGGGCAGCTCTACCCTGTCCTATGGGGTCGCTCTGCATCAGCTTCCACTCAGGGACAGTGAGTTTGGTTTCTGGTTTCCTCAGGTGCTGTTAATTCAGTTCCGACTCTTAGTGACCTGATGTGTAACGGAAGGAGAAGCTGCTTGGTCCTGTGCCATCCCCATGCTTGCTTTCTGGGCCACCGCGTGTCTGTCCATCCAGAAGGGGCTGGGGACTGCCGGGTTCATGTCTGGCCAGATTCTGCTTTGGGGTTCTGATCTCCAGAAGGCGAGTGTCGGAGGCACCAGGGCACGGGGTCAGCCAGGGGCTCCTTTCCCAGCACCTCGTTTGTCAAGTATCTGGACGCTTAGGACTTCTGGTTTCGCCTCCAGAATGTCTCATTGAGATACGGGGGCAGGTGCTTTTGGTGTCCGTGCACCTGGTAGTGGGGAACTGGTCAGGAAGGTCCCCAGGAGCCACTTTGGCCCTTGTCTGTCCCTTTGTCCGGAGCAAGTGACCAGGCTGGAGGGTGGGAACAGGGCCAGTTCAGCTCAGCCACACACTTGATGTCTGCCAGTGGGGTTTGCTTGTTGCTGTGAAGCTAAACAAGTCTCATGGGAGCTTCCTGTTCGAGACAGGCTAGAAAGAATGGCCTGGTGATCTACTGCAAAGCTGCCGGTGAAATGACCACAACAGTCCTCCCATCCGTGAACAATCCTGGGGTGGGGTGCAGGCTGACTTGAGGCCTGAGAACCGTTGACAGTGTTGATGGCATCTGCCGGAAGGCATCTCGGCCTGGGCTGAGCTCATGCCTCTGCTTTTACTGCCTCCCCATGCCCAGGTCTGTTTCTGAGATTCCCCCAGGTGAAGCCTGAGCTCCGCCGTCTCTGGTCACAGGCACGGCTCAGCTGGTGCACTTACCTCTTTGCCTGAGACTTGGCACCTTGACAAGGCCCTCTTAGGGGCAGAGAGCAGACCTAACTGAGAAGGCACTTTTGAAATTTTTCTCGGTCGACATGCCCATGTAGGTGTGAAGCATGGAGAGGTGGGGCAAAGGGCAACAGCTAGGACCCCCTCCCCTTGCACCCTCATTCCCAGTATAGTGTTCATGCTCTATTGCTGTGTTAGCTGCAAATGGCTGGTTAATATTAACCGGGGCCCTGCCCAGTGCTGGGGGCTGGACATGCTATGGTGGCCTTCAGTCCTCCCAGCAGCCCTGGGAGGAGGTGGTGATGAGCCCACCAGCAGCACGGCAGGAGGCTGTACAGAGAAGGCACAGCTAACCTGCAGCCCAGGCTCCTGGGATTCAGCAGGGGTCCCTCACTTCCTGGACTCCTGAGTTGCTCCCACTTATGTCACTGTGTAGCCTTGGGGGAGCTGCCCCGTCAAACACAGGCCTGAAGGAGGTGGGGGTCAGGGAGGAGACAAGATTCCCAGGGCAACTGGTGGTAACTACCACCACACAACCAAACCCCCTGTCACCAAGTGGATTCTGGCTCGGGACCCCATGTGGGTCAGGGGAGACCCGTGGCTGACCTTTTGGAAGTGGATCACCAGGCTTTTCTTCAGTGGTGCTTCAGGGGAAGCTCAGAATAGCCAGCCCCTCCCAGGTGTGCGCCCCTCTCAGGGGATCTAGTGGTAATCATTCCAATCAAGCTAAAATAAAAGTACCTGTGCCCCTCACATGATTCAGACCGCATGTCATTGCTTCAAGGGCCAGGTGTTGAACCTTTCCAAGATCCTTAGGGGCTGGAGAAGATGCGTTTTGCCTTTACAGATGCAGAGCAGGACTTGGGGGCCACAGGGACTTGTTCTAGGCTGTGCCACCTGCAGGCTTGGCCTGGCAACTCAGCTCCAGGGCTCAGGAGTCTTTCCCTTTCAGTGGTCTTGAGGGGGCAGACACTGGTCTCTGGATCTTGGGGAGTTAGAATAGGGATTGGCTCAAAGCAGGCCAAATGTGCCTGGGTTCAAATCCCAGCTCTGCTCCTTATAAGCTCTGTGTCCTGGAGGAGTTGCTCAGCTTCTCTGAGCCAATCTGTAAACAGGAGGTAACCTCATCTCTGCTCTGGTGTTGGGAGATTGGTCCTGTAGTGTCAGGCTCTGGATGGCTAACGGGCAGGTTGGTGCTTGAAACCCACCGGTTGGCTGTGAGGGAGAAAGGTGTGGCAGTCTATCTCTGTGAAGATTCACAGCCCTGGAAAACCTTGGGGGCGGGGGGCACGTTCCAGAGCCTCAGTTTCCTCATTTGTAAAATGGGTATAATGACAGGCCTTCCTGTGCCAGATGGTTGAGCCTTCCGGAAGAATGGATAGGTGACGTCGTAAAATAATCAACCACTCAGGATCGAGAGGGCGGCCTTCCCCACGGACAAAGTTCACCAGGGTCAGGGAAGGAGGAGGAGGGGAAACGGGAAGTGCAGGGAGGAAGTGGGTGAGCAGTGGTGTGTTGGGGGGGTTGCAGTTGACGGCGTGAAACAAAAGGTGTATCAGTCCCTGAATGGAAGATGGATCTGCTGTGTGAACCTTCACCCGATTCACAAAAAGGTGGTTTTTATTAATGGGTATGCATGCCCGCTATGTGCCAGCCTTCACTCTAAGGGCCGAGGACCCTGCCATGCACAAAACGGGAGGCAGGTCCCATCCCTGCCCTGTTCTCACGGCGTGTACGTCTTAGAAAAGGAAGAGTGGTGGGTGATGTCAGGCAGGTTGACGCTGCGTGTGGGGACGGTCAGAGATGCCTCTTGCCAGGTGTGTTAGTCCAGGTAGACTACAGAAACATTCATAGACACTCCTATGTGTATAAGAAAGGGCTTTATGTATAAGAGCAGTTGAATATTGAGAAAACATCCCAGCCCAGTCCAGATCAAGTCCATAAGTCTGATATTAGCCCATATGTCCCCGATACCAATCTATAAAGTCCCCTTCAGACTCACAAAACACATGCAATGACACCGAATGCAGGAAGATCACAGGCCAGTGGGTGGAAAATCTTGTGGATCCTGTGGCAATGGAAGCATCTCAGTGCTGGTGTGGGTCTCCACGTGGCTCCTCCAGGTCCCAGGGCTCTGGATGCATAACCGTAGCTCCATCAGGTGCCTCATCAGTGATGTCTCTCAGGGAGTGAGCTATTTATCTCCTTAGCACATCCAAATGAGGCCATCAGGCTGCGACCTGATTGACAGGCCAAACTCCACCCCTTCACTCTTAATAATCTCAAATTGACAACAGATGATGTCACTTCCACACCAGCGGACCCTAGACTATATGCTGGCAGGTAGCAAGGGGCACAGGAAGTTGCTCCACCGTGTGTGCCTGGCAGCAGTGAGTCTCGGTGGAGGCAGCTTGGAGTCCACAAGGGACAGAGCAGGGGGCCAGTGTTCAGAGAAGGGGCCCACAGACTGGGATGGGCTTTGGGCTTGTCCTTGTGGAATGGTGAATGCAAGAGTGCATGGATGTGACACGCAGCTTCTGGGCAGGTCCTCGTGGCTCCTGGGGGGTGTAGGCAGGGATGGAGGCAGGGAGTTGGGGAGCAGGCAGCGGGAGCAGCCCAAGGGAGCAGTGAAGGGGCATGTGGGCTGGGCCTTGGCTTTGCTGGTAGGCTGGATGTGGGGTGAAGGTTCAAGATGAGGGTGACCCCGAGATGTGGGGCCTGGGTGTCTCTCTGCCATGTGTTGACTGCGCACCCACGGAGCAGACACCTGGATGTCCAAATCACACCAGGGGCTGTGCCTGTGGCACGACATTCCAATTTTCCAAACACTCCTCTCCTACAGAGGACAGAACAGACCAGGGGTGGGGGTGGGGTGGGTCTAAGCATCTGCCCCAGGCCATGTGGTCAGCAGGAGCCTAAGCCAGGATTTGAACTTGAGACCACAGGACCCCTTTGCCCTGTTTGTTTCTTTCTGCCGTTTTTTTTTTTTTTTTTAAGTGTTGGCCTGCAGGCATCTCCTTGGAAGAAAGAGGCTTTCCCCTCTTCCCTAAAGCTCTACAGCCTCAGGACACAGTCCTGCGCTGTCCAGTGTGGTTGAGGGATTGCTGGCAGTGGGCGTGCTGGGTTGGGTGTTGGAGGGTGGTCAGGTGCTTTGGCTATTCAAATGTTCTGTAGGATCTAACTGGGTGTGGGCCGAGGGCTGGTACCGCTGGGCTGGGCTGCTTTGGATATTCAAAGTCTGGTAGCGGTTGTTGGGTGGTTGAGGGTCAGAGGGGCCCCTTCCAGCCCCTTGACCCCCATTTAAGCTGCTTGTTCCAGAGGCCAGTGACTCCTGCCACTTCAGCCTTCTCCTCCGCTCCTTCTGATAGACACGCGTGCGAAGAGTAAATTAAAACCAGCGCTCTCTCCTCTCTTCCCAGCCTGCCTGTTTCTTCCCACCTGCCGTGCCCCCACCCCGGCTGCCCGACCATGATGACCCTGGCCAACGTGGACGCCCTCCCGGAGTATGAGAAGAGTCAGATCAAGAGAGCGCTGGAGCTGGGCACGGTGATGACCGTCTTCAGCTTCCGCAAGTCCACGCCTGAGCGCAGGACCGTCCAGGTGATCATGGAGACGCGGCAGGTGGCCTGGAGCAAGACAGCCGACAAGATCGAGGGCTTTGGTAAGTACCTGGCCTCTCCGCTTCCTGCCCCACCTGGCTCCTGCAGGTGCCGCTGGTCTGGCGCACCAGGGTGCTTAGCTCTGCCTGGGTCTCTGCGTCTGGAGCAGACGGGTTTTGGTGGCAGCATCCTGATGCAGGGGCTCAATGGGGTCCTCAGGGAGAGCCTGACACTGAGGTTGGGTGGCTGGCCTGGGCTTGGGGAGGGGGCTCCCTGCCCTCCCGTGTCTGGGGTCTGCGTCTTCTTGGCTCCAGTGTCTGTCCTTGTCCGTCTAGCAGGCTGGCACTTGCTGCCCTCCCCAGCTTGGGCTCTCAGTATCCTCTTAGTGTGATGCCAACTGCAGCTGGTACAGGGAGACAGCTAGCCACTCACTGAGCTTTTAGCTTTCGGATGAGCTCCTCTGCCCTGCAGCAGGGGCTCTGCGCCCCGCCTGGCCCCCCTTGAGAGCCACAGTGGACTCCGTTCCTGAAGCTCTCGAGACTGAGGGGGATCGAGGGCAGGGCCCCTGTTGGCGTGTTGCTTCATAGGAACTTGGATGTCGTTGAAAAATGATAGTATATATATATATAAAAGGAACATAATAATGTACACTTAAGTGAGTCAAGGGGAGGGGGGAATGGAATAACTCAGAGATGCAGGTCTGCCTCCCCCGGCCCCAGGCTCAAGGTTACGGTCCGTTTCCTTGGCCTTCGGGAAATGTTCTGTGCCCGCGTGATGTGTGTGGTGTTTTGGACACACACAGAGCTTCCTACCCCTCCTCCTCCGCGCCCCGCTGGTGTTTTGATTTTGCCTGTTTCCTTTTGTCATTATCTTGGTGGGGCATCCTGATTAGCCTGTGGCAGTCATTCAGCGGCCCCAGGCCTCCCCGTGACCCTGGTGGGGGCACATTGTGGGTGGTGTGTCTGTCTTTGGCTCCTGGGGTTAGTGTCTGTAGAGACTCCTCTTGGAGCATCTCTTGTGTGAACATACGTGCGTCTCACTCACCCGCCGGCTCGCTCGCTGACCCCGAGTCAATGCCGGCCCTGTAGGCACCCTCTAGGACAGGGGAGAACTGCCCCCCAGGGTTTCCAAGGCTGTCACTCTTCACGGGAGCAGAAAGCTGCATCTTGCTCGAAGTCCCTTGGTGGGTTCAAACTGCCAACCTCGAGGTCCAGCGTGTGATGGGTTACTGCCCAGGCTCTTGCATACAGATAGGGGTACGAGAGGCTCAGCCTTCTGGCATGGTTGTCTCTGAGTTAGAGGGGCCACACGTTGCCTTTAAATGATGGTTTGGCAGCACCCCACAGCAGAGGTGGACCTCCCCGAGGCTCCAGCCCACAGGCCCCGTGGTCCTCATCCCACCCTCACCGGTGCTACCACCACAGGAGGTCAGAAGGCCGCGCTGCTTGGAGGAACCCTCTTTTTTTTTTCTCTCATCACCGGGAGGGGGACTCACTTTCCAAAGGTTTCTTTGGCCTCGGGACTGGGCGGGCCCAAGATGGCCCAGAGCTGGAAGTGTTGCTTTGAGGGTGCCCCTGTGTGACGGCAGCCACAGCTCCTCCCGCTCCGCTCTGTTTTTGTTGCCCACACTCGGCCTCACAGGTTGTACGAACTGGCTGCCGCTGGGGCGGGGTGGGGCCTGCAGGTGGTAGAGCGGGCAGTGAGGGTAAACACAGGTGTGCCCCAGGAGAGTGGACAGTGGGATCTCTTTCCTCTTCTCGGCCTGTGGGTCTCGTGCCTGACCGACCAGGGGCAACCGGGGGCTTTGTGAAGTAGAGGTTCCTGGGCCCCTCATCCGCTCCACAGGTGCTCTTGATCACTCTTCAGGGTGGGTGAACCTGACTCTAAGGGAACTCATGGCTTCCTCCTTCTGGGCCCCCATTGACTTGATCACGGAGGGACTGCAGGGCTGGGCTCCTGCTCTCCTTGCTGAGCGTTGCTGTGTGAGCTTTGCACCGTGTTCTGAACCTCAGTTTCCACAGGGCTATGGCTGGGGATAGGTGTAGCGTGCCCTTGCTTCAGTCAGAGCTGTGACGTGTCACGGGGTGGAATAGGTGTTCTGAGACCCGTCATGACTGCCCAACGACTGCCAACGTCCTAGGTGCTAGACTCGGCTGGGCCAAGGGGAAGAAAGGTACAGCAGAGACCAGCCATTGCAGTCCCCTAGTGGGGGTGGGGGGTGGGGTGCACTGGGTACCATGCCAAGACCGAAGGCCGCTGTCATCAGGATGTGGGGGTGACGTAGATGAATAGGAAGCAGGCCTTAAGGTGGGCAGCTCCTGTCGTGAGACATGACAGGAGGGATTTGCCGTTGGCCAGCAGGGATCGATGGACATCTCAACGTGGTGGGATGAGTGGGTACCACTTGATGTAAGAGAGTAGATCAGTTAAAGTGGAGATTCAGATGAGGCTCAGCTGGGTGGTTCTTCTGTTCTTGGTGGCATCTACTGAGGTCATTTGATGGTCCTTAGCTGGTACGTCACCTCCTTCGGGGCATGCAGGAGACCTCACTCACTCATTGTCACTTGGATGGTGATGACTGGTAGGCTGGATCATCCTGGGACTGCTGACCAGAACTTTTACTGCATGGTGGTTTCAGGGTGGTCAGACTCTATTACGTGGCAGGTAGCTTCCCCCAAGGAGAGTGTTCAGGAGTGGAGGCAGAAGCTGTAAGACATCATATGACTTGGCTATCTTGCTGGGTGAGCATTACGTGAATTGTAGTGGCCTGGTAGGACAGGGTGGCTGAGGCTGTACCTCTGTACAAGAGCTTAGAGGGAACCTCCTGTTTCTTCTGAGGAGCAGCTGGTGGTTTTGAACTGCTGACCTTGTGGTTAGCAGCCTAACTACTACATCACCAAGGCTTCTAGGTGTCACATTAGGGAACTTTTTTTTTTTTTAACTCTTTAGTATATGGGAGCTCTCACTGACACCTGCCATCTAAGAAGAAATCGTGGCTTGAAAGGGCCCTTTCAGGTCCTCTCAGGATCCAGCATCCCATCAGAAGTAAAATTCAGCAGAGTCCCCAGAGTCTGTAAGGATGTGCACTTCTAATACACAGAAGCACAGGTGTTGGGTCCCAGCAGCCTGGGCTCAAATCGCAGCCCCGGGCCATTACTTTCACGTCTTTCGCTTCTGTAGCCTCTTCTGTCGAAGGGACTTGAGAAAATGGCCAGTCTCACGAGGCTCTTGTGATGGGCAAAGGAACTGGTACACGCACAATGCTTTCAACTCCTGCTGCCCTCCCCGCCACCATCACAGGTCAGCGGGAGGGCGCTTTTGCAGGGACGGGATAACTGCATCCACTCGGGTGCATTGAATGACTGTCCTCCACCACCCCGGTGACCCGCCCTGCTCCCTGTGTGTCGGGCCGGATGGTGCGAACAGTAGAAGGGTCATTTCTGCTCTGGACCTTGGCGCAGACCTGCTGTCCTCACCACGGTGGAGGAATTGGCTCGCCTGATTCTTCCAGGGTTGTCCTCTGTCACAGATGGCAGTCCCGTGCTCTTCAGGAAATCCGTTCCGTTGTGGGTTCAGCACATCCCCCCGGGAGGGCTTCGGCGTGTGTCATGTGTGGTGTGTGCCACTGGGGACGAGCAGGACAATGGAGCAGGTGGTCTAATGGGAAAGGTGGTAAAGAGGCCAAGGGACATACAAGGAGCAGTCAGAAAACGTGGCCATTTTAGGGTCCCAGGTCATAAATGCAAGGCCTTATTCCACACAAAACAGGTTAAAGCCTGCCTCTCTGGTGGTGTAGTGGTTATATGTTGGGATACTAACTGCAAGGCTCCCAGTTCGAAACCAGCTGCTCCCGTGGAAAGTTACGGTCTCAGAAACGCGCAGGGCCCGCTCTGCCCTGCCCCGCAGGAGTGGGCAGGGACTTGAGGGCAGTGCGTTTGGTTCCATCGATCTGGTCAGTAGATGGCTGCAGACAAGTTCCCTCTGTTGTATGCTTGTCTTACTTTCTCAAGTTGCTGTGAAAATTTTTTTAATCTAGACAGTGGCTTTGGAGTGGGTATATTGGGCCAGTTCAAAGCAAAAAGGTAAAAAGGTTTGTTTGTTAGTTTGTTTCTAGCTCAGGTTATGATGAGGTGTTGTTTTTCTTTTGGTCCAAAGGGCCATCCTGGTTTTTTTTTGCAGGGTGCTGGATGACCCTGTGCTTACAGTAAAGTTTTCAGGAAACAAACTGCATTGGTACGAGGAAGGACCAGGGAGCTGTGCTGAGAATGTCTCCCCATCACAGCAAAGCACCCGCTCTTTCTTCAAACAGGGGCAAGTGCTGTCAGAGGAGAAGCTTGTTGGGAAACCTGACCCCCATCCTCCCTACACCCCCTGACCTTGCCCCTTCAGACTTTCTGTTGTTCCCCAAACTTAAAGGTCCTCAGAAAGGAACACAAATTGAGTCCCCTGAGGATGCACCCACTGTTGTTTTGACGTGGTGTCAATGGCGGAGCCCTGAATTCTTTGGGGAAAGGTTAGAGCAGTGGTTCTCCACCTTCCTCATGCCGTGACCCTTTCATACAGTTCCCCACGTGGTGGTGACCCCCCAACCATTACGTTATCTTCGTTGCTACATCATCACTGTCATTTTGCTACCGTTATGAAGCGAGTGACCCCTGTGAAAGGGCTGTTTGACCCCCAAGGGGGTTGCGACCCCCAGGTTGAGAACCTCTGGGTTAGAGGGATGGCAGTGCTGCCGTCAGAGGTGCACAGACCCAGATGGGGGCCTGTGCTGAGAAGCAGTAACTTCATAGGTTGGCGTTTTTTTCACCAGGGTTTCTGTGACTTCGCAGCAGTGCTTTGGGGCCTCCCTCTGTGTGCAAGCATGTCGCATTGGGGTGGCTTTGGCCAAGCGGAGAAGCAGGGTGTTTCTGGAACACAGTCGCCAGTCGGAGCACTGGGACATTAGCCAGGCCCTTCCTGAACCTTTGGGCTTCCGTCCCTCAGCTGATGGGCCCGGGACCGTTTCCACCTTTCGCTGGAACGTCCCTGCACAAGTTGTGTTCGCCGACATTCTCCTTGC